CTTGCCCCGTGAACGTAGGAAACTTACCGAACCACATAAAATTTGTTGTCTTGCTATGGTGATTATGTTTTACTTATTGGTTGTGATCTATCTCGCTCTTGCTCTGCACTATTTGGGTTTCGAGTTTCGCTGCGCATAACAAGTGGTATCAGAGCTTCGGGTTTGGCTTGAGACTTGTTCGAAGGATTCGCTGAAGGATTCTTACTTGGAGAGTTAGATATACAACATGTGAGAAGCAAACACATCGGGGCCGTCTCTTACAAAGGCGATACAGAGTCTAAGCATTAATAATACAAAGATTGATGTTCCGAAGTTCGATGGCAAGATCAATTTCAGTTTATGAATGTGCCAGGTAATGGATGCGTTGGATGCACAGAATTTGGAGGAGACTCTTGAGTTATAAGAGAAACCTGAAGACATAGAGGACAAGGTTTGGAAGAAGATGAACAATAGGGCTTGTGGAGTTATTCTGTCATGTATGACGTCGGATCTTATTTATGATGTGATGAACGAGACATCGGTGAAGAGATTGTGGGAAACACTCAATGAAAAGTATCTTACGAAGAGTATTGAAAATCGGCTTTACTTGAAGAAGGGGTTTTACCAGTTCAAGATGAGGAGGGGAGTTTCTATTAGGGAGCATGTAAATAACTTCACGAAGTTACTTTCAACTATGACCAATGTAGACATCATGGTTGATGATAAAGACAAGGTGATGCTACTTTTATGTTCGTTGCCAGAGGATGATTATGGTACGTTCGTTCTCACTAATGAAAGAACTACTGTTAGTTACAAGGAGGTGACCTCAGCGTTGGTGAGTTGAGGAAGAGTGATGGTGAACCCTCCGAAAAGGCATCGGGAGATGCATTAGCAGTTTGAGGCCATAGTCCAAATAGTCGCCAGTCCAACCACTCAAAGTCAAAGAATAGATGTGGCCATAAGAGTGTTGGTAGAAATCAATGTGCCTTTTGTAAAGAAGAGGGACATTGGAAGAACGAGTGCCTAAAGTTGAAGGACAAAGTCGGGAAGAACAAAGGGAAAGTTATACAGACTTCAGAGGTGAATGTTGCTAAAGATGTTAGTGACCATTCAGATTTGGATTCTTTAGGCTATGCATGCCCTGTACTACCGTCAGTTTTCTATGCCACCTCTACGGAGTGAATGTTGGATTCAGGAGCTACATTTCACATTTGCCTTAGAAGGGATTGGTTCTCCAGCTTTGAGGAGCTAGAAAGAGGGGATGTTGTGCTTATGGATAATGATTATGTATGTCCTATTGGTAGAATTGGTACAATCCAGATCAGGATGCATGACGTGGTGACTAGGGAGTTAAAAGAAGTGAGGTTCGTGCCACAGTTGACGAATAACATCATTTCTCTTGGTACTTTGGAGGCAGCAGGTTATCAGATGATCTTAGAGGATGCTACTTTGAAGGTCATGAAAGATTCTACTTTGAAAATTCTACTCAATTTAGGATCACTTCTCATGCACTCAAAATACTTCATTCCGTGGACCTTCTCGAAGGGGACCACTCCATCAAGAACAGCATGCTTTAGTTCTTGCCTAGTTAAGAGGATCATGCTGGATATGTCAGATCTTACTCAGTTTTGATTAAATAAAGAGGGTGTCTATGTGCAATTAACGGGCCCTGAAAACAAAAACAAGAATAACGATAACTATGTATAATACAATTTTCCTACACTACTCTCACGCTACAAGAGAAGAAAATACCCTTGATGAGTCATCAATTTTTTTAAAAAAAGTTAAAAAGATTGGACCCTACATTTTCCTCTCTTCTAGTGTAGAAGTAGTGTAGTTATCACTACCCAAAAAGCAAGGGTTTTCTCCTTAGAGATCACCTTTCATTTTCAATTTATACATAAATTAGGTAATTATTTTTGTGAAATCTCGATCTTATATACTTTTATGATTGACTACTTGCACTAAAGAAAATACGATTTTTACCTAATAAGATAATATTTGTTTAATTGATATTTCTTAATTATGTGATTTTTTATTTTTTTAGGCTATCCAAGATTAGGAGAGGAGTTAGCTCGAGTCGTTTTTTTTATAATGATTAGAGATGAAATCGTTCAAGTCAAACATATGAACTAACATATGAATTCAATTTTTATAGGATGAAATCGTTCAAGACAAACAAGCAAACCCTTCACTTTCAGACATTGAGATAATTAAGAAAATTTGGGGGAAGCAATCTCATGACCGCATCACTGTATTTGGGGGCATGACTACTTTGAAAGATTTGAGAGGACCGCTCTCTAGTCGATCTGATCTGAAAGCACTAGTTATAGAAGGAAAGAGAAAGAACCAGATGCTTCAACAATATTTAGATGAGCAGGAGTAACAACATCAACAACAACAAAGGATGTCTGACTTAAAGTTACAAGTTAAAGCTATGCAGGAACCTTTTTTTAGGCAACAATCTAATACTTCATTGACTCCTGAAACTCGAGAACATGTGCAGAATTAGGTAATTATTTTTTGTAAAATCTCTTATATACTTTTATGATTGACTACTTGCATTAGAGAAAATATAATTTTTATTTAATAAGATAATATTTACTTAATTGATATTTCTTAATTATGTGAACTTTTTAAATTTTCAGGCTATCCATGCAAGACTAGGAGAGGGGGTAGCTCGAGTCTTCTTTTTGACATTGATTAGAGATGAAAAGATGTGTCTTTCTGTAACTTTTACTTTAATTTGCTTTTGATAGTTTCACGTATTTTTCTTTGGAACAATTGGGATATTAACTCTTGTTATTAGTATTGAATATTTGAATACTGTGGAAATTTATTTATTGATGTTATTAATGAATGGAGTTTTTATTTTCCCTTTTATTAATTATTGGGTATTTTTAATATATTTGTGTTGTGAATCTCAGTGTCATGTTGAGAATAATATGAAGGTTTTCTATGATAATTGCCTATAAATGAAAAAATTATCATTAATGTATATTAGAAATTTATAGTCTACAATGACTATTTTATAAATCTTATTTAGTACATCAACGAAGGGAAAACACCATCGTTAATGGGTTACTAATTACCCACCTTGAGGACTTCTACGACGGTATCCAACCGTCATTAATAGGTCTTCAACGGTGGGGATCTCACCCATTGTTACATAACGACGGGAAGGACAAACCGTCATTTTACAGTAATTAATGACGGGGAAAAAAAATTCCGTCACTGATGGTAACAACGGTGATAATTACCGTCGCAGATATGAATGACGGGAAAAATCCTCGTCACTGATAGTAACGACGGTGATAATTACCGTCACAGATATGTACGACGGTAATATGTTTTGTCGTTATAGACTCTATAACGACGGATATTATAACATTCGTGACCCTTTAGCGAAGAAGACTTCAACGACGGGTGACGAAGGGATTTTTTTTTCCTGTCATTAGCGTACAATAACGAAGGTTTTCAGCTCTTTAACGAAGGGAAATCCCTTCGTTAAAGACGTAATTTCTTATAGTGTAACTACCTATTTTCAAAGTGGTTTGTAGGAGAAAACAACCCCAAACTATGTGATGCGGCTTAGCTAACACAGGTTTTCTCTTCACATAATTAATTTTGATTTTGATCCTCTCCGTTATTAAAAAGTAGTGGTTTTGCTATCACTTTTTTAATTAAGGAGAGGATTCATGTCATCTATAGTTATTTCCTTGCATGTAACCGATTTAATTTATGAGGGTTATCTATAAACAAAGAGCTAGGTCCCTCAAACCTTATCAATTATTCTACATTAGTCCTTCAAATCTAGGAAATTACTAATTAGTCCTTCAAATCCTAAGAGGTCTTGCAATTTGGTTCCTCAATAATCAAGATACCCTCGGTTAATGGTTTTTTTTGAAGGGTTATTTGTAATTGGGCACTCTAAAATTTACACATTTTCAAATTTGATATAACAAAGTCTTTTTGATACTTTGATACCCCAAAGTTTACACCTTTTTTTAGCTTTGATACCTCTATAGTTCTTTTCTTACACTTTGACACTCAAATTTACACGTTTTAAACTTTCATACCCTAACATTTCCATATTTTAAACTTTGTTACCTCAAAGTTTCGAGTATCAAAGTGTCAAAATAAAACCGTAAAGGTATTAAGTTAAAACGTATAAAATTTATCGTAACAAATGTTAGAAAAAAGAACGTCAATATTTTAAAGTAAAAAAAGATGTAAACTTTAGGATATCAAAGTGTTGAAAAAACTTGGGGTACTAAAGTTAAAAAAGGTATAAACTTGATTGTACCAAAGTGTAAATAACCTTTTTTTTAATAAGATGGCTTTTGGGCAGGAAATCATAACCGAAGGACATTTTTGGGCGGGAAATCATAATTGAAGGGTATTTTAGTCATTGAAGGTCCAAATTGCAAGACCTCTTAGGAACTGAGGGAATAATGAGCAATTTCTGAGATTTGAGGGATTAATATTGAATTATTGAAGATTAATTTGAGGACTGATACATGAATAACCCAAACAAATAAAAGTTTTCTTTGATTATTTACATTCAAGTGCCCTGTGGTATATGTAGCCAGGATGAATCCTTTCTTTCTTTCTTTCGTCCTTTTTTTTTGGGTTGGGGGTTGATGATTTTTTTTTCTTTTTCGTTTTCTTTTTTTTTTATGGTGGGGGTTGTGGGGAGGGAGGCCCGGGGGGAAGGGTTGTTTGGGCCTATAGTATACACGCTTTGGCCTTGAACAAGGCATCGAGGCCTTCGGCCCAAAGGCCTTTGCCTAAAGTTTGCTCAAGGTTTTGGGTTGAACCAGAGCAATTAATCATAAGATTAATTCTTGGATCATCAATGTAATCTCAGTCAGTAAATTTAGAATTATCCGTATAGGTACACATACCTCAAAGTCATAAGTGTAAGTGCAGCAGACCATAGGTACCATAACGTAAATAATGCAAAAAATTTAAAGATATCCCTTATCAGTTCGAGGAGGGACATAAGCAAAAGAGGCTACCAGCTATCTTGACGAGCCTTGTGCATGTTCATGATGATCAACGGAGCAAGAGATGCTCCCCCATCCTTGCCACCAACAAAAAGCTTGCCCACCGGTGAAAGGCCATACCGCCTCTCGACACGGCCAGCACCCTCGGTCCCCGAACAAGTCAGGATCGAGCTGCTGGCCAAATACCGCAGCATCCTGTCGAGTACCGTCGCGGCCTGTGCGTTATTCGTGCAAATGTTCGACACGATCTCTGCGACAGACAGCTGCCGACCAGGACCAGCATTGGCTATGATATCGAGCACGCCAAGCTCGATGACTGCCTTTAGAGTCATCGGGACAGCGTAGGCTCCGGCTATATACACCGCAGAGAGGAACGCTGCCATCTCCTCATCTGCGGATGCATCGTACTGTTGATCGTCCTGGTAAGTTGAGGCCATTATTGGGTTAATGTAGGTGATTTTGTTAACTTGAGTTGTACATATTCTCTCCTGGTAAGTTGAGGCCATTATTGGGTTAATGTAGGTGATTTTGTTAACTTGAGTTGTACATATTCTCTTTTTTAGGGTTTATAAAGAAGCAAGGGGGCGGGTTCAATTAATGAGACCAGAAATTCATAGTAATTAAGATGCTAGCTAGATATGCAGTATAGCGTTGCAAATTTAACGCGGTCAAGTTTTGGCAGGCGGGAACACGAGATGGCCGTGATTGACGGCATTCAATGAATTGCTGCACATAATCAGACAAGATTAATTAATATAGCTCTCCGCTAGTCAGACCAGATGAACCTCACCATATTTATGGCTCCATAACTATCGTCAGCAATAATCAAGTCCAAGTCTCTCACCACACCAAAAATTTAAGAGTTGGGATAAAGATGGAGGGTTATTATAATTTTATAATCTGACTATTATAATTTTATAGTCTGACTAGCTAGTTCTTGCGATCTAAGAGTCTTTTCATAGATATATGATCAAAGATTGAACTCATAGAGCGACATCTTATAATTTTTTAAGTCTACTTTAGAAACTTGTGGCCATTGAATTTTCATCCTTAAAAATTACCCACGTCATCTAATAATATTGTGGCAATTCATCTCATCTCATCTCCTTTCTTACTTTTAAGAATGAACCAAACACAAGAAATGAATCGCATCATCCATCTCATCTCATCTCAGAAAATGAGTCACATCATCCATTAATATGGTGACAACTCATCTCATCTCATTAAAATTTAATTTCCATCTATTTTCTCAAAAAAAAATCATGAAATGGGTTTCCCTAAATATGAGTCACATCATCCAATAATATAATGATAACTCATCTCATCTCATCTCTTTTTAATTTCTTAGTTTTAAGAATGAACCAAACACAAGAAAAGAACCTATTATAGAAAATAGATATTTTATAATTAATTTCCCTTATTTTAATAGCCAACCAAACAACCTCAAAACAAGTCATAAATTTTGTTTCTTAAAAAATCACTCACATCATCCAATAATATGGTGACAACTCATCTCATATCATCTCTGCGTCCTAACTCTGCATTTTAGATTTATAACGCAGCGCGACCTATGCGTTCAGCCACCAAAATAGGCTCAACTCTGCGTTTTAAATCTAAAACGCAGAGTTCGGGTCCTGAACGCTATTTTTCAGCGTTTGACTCATTCAAAGCATGAACTAAACGGTTTCAAAACCATTTTTCCCATGATTTGGGGAGCTGTTTAAGGGGGCGATTACACCCCATTCAGCCCCACTTAGGAGCGAATTAAGGGGGTGATTATACCCCTTAATCCTCTATAAATAGGAGTAAACTCAACTGAGTTCGGATCTTTGGATCTTGGAGTATCTTGGAGATCTAGAGATCGGCTTCTTCGGATCATCTCCTCAGCAACAGATCATCTTCGAGCTTCCTGCAGCAACAAAGTTCTTGGAGTATTCCCTTGGCTTATTAACTGATTTTTCGGTTCAAATTAACTCTTTTTCAAGAGTTTAAACTCGCTCTGAGTTATCAACTCGTTCAGAGTTTCAAACTTGCTTTGAAAGTTCTCCACAACGTCGAATCATGAGGAGAAGATATTATTTCAGTGAATTAAGATGTTTGGATCGTCAACAGAGAGCAAACTCGACGTGAGCATTCGAGGGAGACACTCCATCGCCACCGTGAAGAACCCAGACTTAAACAAAGGGAAGAATTCAGATCAATTCTCTTTTCTTTTGTAATCAGAAAATCCAAATTATAATTGAGATTGAGAGAGTTGTAAACATTCTTTTTCTAAGCAGATAGAGAGAATAAAATCAAACACAGTTCTTTCATTTTCTTATTACAAATTTTCCACCAAACAGTGCCTTCAAGGAGTTCTGTGATCATGAAGGCATTGTTCGACACTGGACAGTCAGGTAACACCACAATAAAATGGGCTTGCGGAGAGACTGAACCAAACATTACGGGAGAAAGCAATGAGTATGTGATCTTATGCTGGATTGGGCAAGGAATGGTGAGCAGAAGCGTTGGCTACAGCTTGTTATATTGTGAACCATTCTCCACATTCTACATTGGATGGTAATACACCCTATAGGGTATGATCAATGGAGCATGCAGATTATGAGAGGCTCTAAATTTTCAGGTGTACCGCCTATTATCACGTTAATGAGGAAAATCTTGACGCGAGGGCTAAGAAGGCTACATTCTTAGGATATGCAAAGGGTGTAAAAGGCTACCGTCTTTGGTATATAGAAGATTTGAAGTTCATGATCAGCAGTGATGTTACCTTTGATGAGAAATCTATGATTGCTAAGGCGCCCAAGGATGATGGTGTTGGGACTGTTGGGATTTCAAAGTCTCATGTTATTGAGATAGACTTTAAAGACCAACCAGGCTCTAGTCATGTTCCAGTGGAAAATCAGGTAGATGATGAGCTTGAGCATGAGGAGGTT